TGCCTTTGGCAGCTGCTCTGTTCTTGTTATCTTTGAGTATAAAAGGAAATGCTTGGATAAATGATTTCACTATTTTATTGTTTGTGATCAACCCTCTGTATTCCTTTTTCTTTTTAGCTGAACTCTTGAAAAAAATTGTGCTCGTCATTCCTAGCAATATAATCTTCTTTAGTTTGTCCCTAAATGTTGTTTTGATCCATTGTAGGGAAATTGTTTTCATCGTGTGATTAAGAGCTTCATGGTGCAAGGTGGTGATATTTCTGCTGGAGATGGTACTGGGGGAGAATCCATCTATGGGCTAAAATTTGAGGATGAAAATTTTGAATTGAAGCATGAAAGGAAGGGGATGTTATCTATGGCCAATTCTGGACCTAACACAAATGGATCTCAGTTTTTCATCACAACTACTCGAACTTCTCATTTAGATGGAAAACATGTGGTTTTTGCAAGAGTAATCAAAGGAATGGGGGTTGTCCGCTCTATGGAACATGTGACTACTGGTGATAATGATTGCCCAACTGTAGATGTTAGTATTGCGGATTGTGGAGAAATTCCTGAGGGGGCTGATGACGGGATCACAAATTTTTTCAAAGACGGTGATCTATATCCTGATTGGCCTGCTGATCTTGACAATAATACTGATGATCTCCCTTGGTGGGTCACCGCTCTAGAGTCGATTAAGGCATTTGGTAATGAAAATTTTAAGGTATTAATTTTAAAACAGCATCAGAATTATTAACTTCTTAATCCCTTTGCTAATTTTTCTCGTTGACATTTGACTCTATCTCTTTTAGCTATCTTTCTAACGTATGCTTGCTTATTCCCATAGAAACAAGATTACAAGATGGCTCTTAGGAAATATCGAAAAGCTTTGCGCTATTTGGATATCTGCTGGGAGAAAGAAGGGATAGATGAAGGTAGGAATTGTAAAATCTTTTGTAACATAAATGGCTCTGAAATATATCTGTTTCTACGAACATATAAATTGCGCTGGAATTTGGATTTGTCTGTAAAATATGTGTCATGTGAATTACAACTCTGCTTGTTCATCTTGCAGATAGGAGCGCATATTTGAGAAGGATGAAATCGCAGATATTTACCAACAGTTCTGTGAGTTTCCTTTCTGCCGCTTTAGTTTGTTGCACTACTGAGTTCACATTATAGAGAATAATCATCTTACGATTTCCCTTCTTGGTAACAATACACTTACTCTGCTTTTTGTTACTAATGGTCGCAAATGTTTTTACTACATCTAGATCATTTCAGGATAGTGCAGGGACTGAACAGCGTTTTTAGACATTATTACGATAAATGTAGTACAATATTTTTTAATTGCACTTTCCTCTTCATCTAGGCCCCTTTTTGTTTTGATGTCTTATATTTGCTGATTGTGCAATTGTTTTCGATTGAAACCTCATAATTTTATCACGTCTCTTGAGTTTGGCACTTGCCTTCATAACTCAGTTCTCATGCGTTCTTAAATTCATGTTTGTTTGCCTATTAACCAACCAAACAAAATAATTGATATGTGTTATGTATAACCAGGCTTCTAAACTAAAACTAGGAGATCTGAAGGGAGCACTCCTAGATGCTGACTTTGCAATGCGGGATGGAGAAAACAATGCAAAAGCTCTATTTCGTCAGGGTCAGGTTGGTATCTATCAAGGGCTTTCTTATTCTGCAGCAGCTTTGACCATCTTGACTGTTGAATAACCTGCGTGTTAATTAGGGTTTTGTAATATTGACAGCAACAACTGTACCCAGTGTAATCCCAAAAATGGGGTTTGGGGAGGGTGGTGTGTACACAAAAAGCTTTCTAAAGGTCAATAAGGTTGAACACCATGATATTTTCTCGGTGTTTTGTGTTTCCAACGGATGGTTCTATAACTCAAGAGGAGTTGTGTAGGACATGTCTATACTATTCTCTTGGCATCAGAAGGTGTAGCTATGTGTAGTTCACCATAAAGTTGAAGTGGTTAAAGGGAAAAATAGGATGGCCATTCTAATTTACTTCTGAAGTTCAATTTACATGGTAAAGTATTTAGTTTCTGTGGGTTCCTGGTGCTAATTTGAGATATTATTTTGTTATAAAACTTTTTTACAATGTAATCCTGCTTTTGATGTATATGTTCATCAATGGTTACGTTTTTACTTTTTTCTGTGTGTGGGTTGGGTGGGTGGGTGGGTTGGGGGTAAGTATGGTTAGTGTTAAGTTGTACGTGCTTGCTGTGTAATACCTGATATGATAGCTGCTTTTATATGTCAATACTGTCATTATGGCTAATGTTTACTCTTAGCTATCTTCTATACTCCTACAATAACGTTTGTCTGTTTATTAATCAGGCACACATGGCTCTTAATGACATAGATGCTGCAGTAGAAAGTTTCAAGAAAGCTTTGGAGCTTGAGCCAAATGATGGTTAGTGATAGTTCATTTAGTAGTTAATTTGTTGTGCTTTTTTGCCTTTAAAGGTTTTTGACACCCAACTAAAATTAACATTTATTGGAACAGTAATGAACAGAAAATTTTAAACTGTGATGTGAGATCTTTACTTAGGTGAATTTAGGGATGTGTATGCTGTAATATGATAAGAAGAATTATTTAATTATACCATCGGTGGTGTGATAGCTGCATAAGAATAGTAGGCTATTTTTACTGAAGGTGACACTAGTTTGGTGATGAATTTTCAGGAGGTATCAAAAACCAGCTTGCTGCTGCTAAAAAGAAGGTTAGTACTTGGCAGGAAGACTCCGTACGAGTTTAACAAAAAATAAAATTAGTTTTTTCCCAGACTGTCTATTGTCATACTTATTTGTTTTCTTTCTTTTTCCTTGTAGATTGCTGATAGACGTGACAAGGAGAGAAAAGCATTTTCCAGGATGTTCCAAAATTAGTTTTGGTTCTCATTTGGCACCAGTGCTGGCAATTAATACTCTTTATCAATTGCCATCATTCATGGAGTTCCTTCTGCTTTCAGAAACAGGATAGTTTATTGCCTTGTTTCGAGACATCGATCCTGATCTATGAACTAAATTAAACTTTAAATGAACTGCTCAGGCTATTCTTGGTTATAACTTGTATGCACCAAATAGCAGAAGGAATTTTAGGTGTCTATGCACCCTTGTTGTTATTAATCAGCTATTAATAAGCTGCACGGATGAAAAAAAAATTAATCATGGGAAATCGTTATCCAATGTTCTTTTATAATTGTGCTGACTTGCAAGGTGACTTCCTTGCAATCTCTGTAGCCTAATATTTCCACATTGAGATGGAAGTAACTTGTATGTATTATGTAACTCAACTGTAATGGTAAGGGCGTATGATGGGAAATTTCGTTGGTTTTTATATTCCATTAGCGTATGTTAATTGTAGTTATTGACTTATGTTCCTTCTCACAGGAAATCGGTAAATATTAGCACATGAGATGTGTTAATAACAGGTGATCTTTGTGGAGTGATGTTCTTCTATTCAAATTGTAAGCTGGCATGATCATTTCCTCGCTTTTGACCTTGCATTTTTCCGTGTGTTGAAAATCTCGACTCAGTGCATAGTGGTTTTGTTGTCTCATCTCAATTTTCTTGTGATTGTTGCATCCCTAGTGTTCTGGTCCAGCATTTTTGTGTCCTGTGTATGTTTTAACTTGCTTTTAGTAACCAAATCCTCTCTTGTTATGACCATAAAAAGAACCAAAAGTGACTGAACAAAATCTACAATGGGAACTTCCTTTTTTGTCTTGTACAGTTGTACTGTAATCTTGTGCACATGAGAGAGAAAAAAAAAGAACCAAAATAAGATGCTTCTGTGCCCACCTTTTCGTTGGAAAAATAAGCACAGTAACAAAATTGAGGTCCCATTTCAACAGTGATGTTTTCTTGTAAAAGGAACAGGTAAATGTAACTTGTTTGAACTGACTTTACCATTTGAAATTGAAAATAAAGTTTTCATACGTGAACAATGTGAGTTTTCTATATGAATTATCATTAATTATTTGTCAAATAGTTGTTCAATTATTACTTGTTCTATTTTCTTACCTGAAGTATCACTATCATTTGGGGAGGAAAAACTCTTATTTTCTCTCTAACAAACGTCTACGTCTAGTAGGTACACAAATACATGTGTAATATATATGGGTTAAGTGTACGTAACATGTTCAAACTCAATATAACAATGTCAATGTGAAGAATGATAGATGGACATGCTTGTTATTTATCGTATATTCTGAATGCGTTTGTAAAATCATTTCATATTCACTCTTATAACTAAAATTCGAGATTTTTGATTAAACATCAACGGTCTGCATGATGTCATTATTACATCAATGTGTCGTCTCCAAAAAATAAATCCTCCTTTTGTCTATTTTCCCAGCTGACGACTTTTATTCAGTTCCAAAAGCCCGCTACTAGCGCATAAAATGATGGATTATAACTTTTTCTTGATCAATATTCCACTAAATAAAAAATGATTAGACACTTAACTTTTGACTTCTAAATGCCTTGTATATTGTGACAGTCAAAGTCAAATCGCTTACATGGTTTTTCATAAGTAATTTTTTTTTAATTAGAAAGTGTTAAAAGTAGACGAAAATAAGTTTGATCTAGAAGATTAATTTCGACGATAATTGTATAATGACTATCGACTATTGTAAACTATACATACAGCAATGACCATTCGTACTATATACTGATACTGTAATTTTTCAACCTCTTTAATATAGAACCATTAGTTAAACCTGTAAAGCATGTTTAATTGAAAAATATATGAACCCCTTAAGATATCTCAAGTGTAGAAGCGACCAGCAGAAATGCTAATTAGTTGATAAGTGTGTAACAATTTCGGTTTAGGTCAGTAACCATTTTGAAAATGGCAATTAAAGTGTTTTTTGTACTAATTTTCTTGTCTCACCAACCAATTACTTCAAGAAAATGTTGACTCATTTTTGTTCTCATTAGTCATATTTTTACTATATATAGCCCATCATTTTGGCTCTCTAATCACCCCAATCAATTCCAATTCTCTTCTATCTTCATTGGAAAAATAAAAATGGCTTTGGCTAACGCACAATCTTTTTTGTTTCTTGTAGTGTTTTCTTTCATGTTTGTCCTTAGTATGGCCAACTTTAACTACGGTCGGGGACAAGGAAAGTTGAACAAAACCAATTGTCCCTATGGCAATAATCACCCAAATGCTACTCAAACTTCAAATAAATTCAACGTTGGTGGTTCTGAAAATTGGCGTTATGGATTCGACTACATGGATTGGGCTCGCAAGAGTGGCCCTTTCTTTGTCAATGACACATTAGGTACGTACTTACGATTTTCTTTCATTTTAAAAATTGAAAGGATTATAATCGCTATCTTGCTTTAAATTTCGGAATTCATTTATGTATGTAACATGCAGTTTTCAAGTATGATGCACCAAACGCAAATGGAGGATTTCCACACAGTGTATACTTATTACCAAACTATTGGAGCTTTATCAAGTGCGACTTAAGAAGAGCTAAGAGGATAGCAAATCCAAACCAAGGTGTGGGTGAAGGATTCGAGTTTGTGTTGAAGAAATCACAACCCTACTTTTTTGCTTGTGGAGAGCATGGAGGAATACATTGCAACAATGGTACTATGAAGTTTGTTGTCATGCCACTCAAACGTTGGACTTTCTGAGTCCATTATAGTATGGTACCAAATAAAATAGTGGTTATAAACTTTTTGCATTTTACTTCTGTTTGGAACAAATTTAAATAATGAGTCTTAAACTTATTTATTATTTATTGTAATTTTACTTCAATTTGGAGTTGCATTGTATTTGGAGTTTTGACAAAAAAAATAATGAGATATACCACTAATTGTTACTAGGATGGTGTATTTGATTTGTTGACAAAATTAACATTCTACGCAGATTATTATTATTTTAACAATAATAATCATAATAAGCGACAGTAAATAGCTATTCATTAATATATACATAATCTTCCCAACTTAATATTCGAACCATCTCTTCACTGCTAGTATACATTTTCAGGTTACCAAAAGAAAAAGGAACATTGTTACTTTGAAGGGTTCAATATTAGTTGAACACGTAATTGATAGAATTTTTTTATATATAAAAATATAAAATTTTGGGATAAATTTTAGAATTTTAAAAGAACTACGCAAAGTATATATTTTAACCAAAAAAAAATCACCTTGTTCTTCATTTTTCTACATCTTGTTTTTTTACTTAAATTTTTTGATCTTAGCAATATTTAATTAATTTCATTTTGGTTTTTCTTTACACTCATCTTTGAAAAAGTTAACAATATTTATATTTTGTTTCACTCACGGCCTTGTCCACAATTTGTCCTGTTAACACCGTTCACTTTAAGTCATTCGTTATGACAATAGTGTTACAATTAAATTAGGTGATAAAATTTTAACAAAAAATTAACTAATCGGTAATCTTGCACGGTTCAAACGGACACCTAGCAGTACTCATATTTGGATAATTAGTTCTCTAATTATATTATATTATATATAGATGTCTAATGCTTTGTAGAAAATAATTCTGGGGTGTCTATATTTATAGGTAAAATTTGTCTTTGGTTTTAACAAATTTTTCCATATTTGAAAATTTAATTAGGACTAGAGAAATAGAGAACTTAAGGTTAGTTATTTAATTTATTAACCTATATGTTATATAGAGATATCAATACATAATTATTTTGGAAAAATGCATAAACTGTATTCTAAATTCGTCACAAAAAAATATTTACACCCTCCAAATATTATTTTCCCTAACTGTATCAATTTGTACTTGCTTGCGCTAAAAGAATTTCATAACAAAATTAAAATGTATGTTTTTTTAAGTACATTTTATTTTTACTAGTATATTTGACCACATTTCTCACAGATTTATTTTTTGAAAAATAATATAATTTTTGTTTGGGGATTGCCTTTCTCTTTTTGTTTCAAAGTCAAGTGTAACCTTAATTAGTTTTTACTTTTTTTTGAAAGGAAATAATACTACTCTCTCTCTCTCTCTCTATATATATAAAATGTTCACTGTCATTTTCCGTAAATATTTTAGTTAAATCGACGAGAAAAGAAAAGAAAATTACATTTTCATAAAAGAAAATTCAGGAAGTTTATCACTATTTTAGTAAATATTTGTTCTCCATGATGCATTTTATCATATTAAGCATTTATTGCTATTTTAATGAAAAATTATATATAATAATAAACTATTAATTTAAATTAAATGATATAAACATAGTTTAATTTAAACGTACCCCTTAGCAAACTGTTGTTATTTCGCCTCTCACTGATGAATTTCGCTCGCCACTCTCGTTCTCGCTGGGCAATCTCGATTTCCTCTCTCACTTTTATACAAACACAAATATATAAAATGTATGTTTTTTTAAGTACATTTTATTTTTACTAGTATATTTGACCACATTTCTCACAGATTTATTTTTTGAAAAATAATATAATTTTTGTTTGGGGATTGCCTTTCTCTTTTTGTTTCAAAGTCAAGTGTAACCTTAATTAGTTTTTACTTTTTTTTGAAAGGAAATAATACTACTCTCTCTCTCTCTATATATATATATAAAATGTTCACTGTCATTTTCCGTAAATATTTTAGTTAAATCGACGAGAAAAGAAAAGAAAATTACATTTTCATAAAAGAAAATTCAGGAAGTTTATCACTATTTTAGTAAATATTTGTTCTCCATGATGCATTTTATCATATTAAGCATTTATTGCTATTTTAATGAAAAATTATATATAATAATAAACTATTAATTTAAATTAAATGATATAAACATAGTTTAATTTAAACGTACCCCTTAGCAAACTGTTGTTATTTCGCCTCTCACTGATGAATTTCGCTCGCCACTCTCGTTCTCGCTGGGCAATCTCGCCTTTCCTCTCTCACTTTTATACAAACACAAATATATAAAATGTGTTTGTGTTGGTATAAAGTGAGAGAAAATTGTTTACATTCATATATTTTCTTTCTCCTCTCTCTCCTCTCCCAGATCCCACTTGCCACTTTCACTTCATACAAATACAAATGTTTGTATAAAGTGAGAGAAAATTACAAATACAAATGCATATATTGTCGTTCCATACACTTACCGAAAACAGATTGTGCAGTTGTTTTTTTGTATATATATATAGCGAACATAGTTAGTTTGTTTTTGGAACATAATTATTCAAACTATAATTATAACATACAAATGTGATTTTTGTGTTGACTATATGTGAAAGTAGCTATTTCTTTTTACACATAAATTTATGCTCTGTGCCAAAAGTATGATATAATGAACCCGATGCCGACGAGCTGCATCCGTGTCTCTATTTAATTGATACTCCCTTCGTTTCGAAAAGAATATCCCTATTTTCTTTTTAGTTTGTTCCAAAAAGAATGATCGATTTCCTTTTTCGGCAATACTTTAACTTTTCACGTAGCATGTTTAAGACCACAAGATTAAAGGGCATTTTGTTACATTTGACATAATTTTAATTTAGAACCACAAGATTAAAAAATCTTTTTTCTTTTCTTAAATTTCATTCCAAATCAAACTAAAAACGGAGGGAGTAGTAAACTATACGTGCAACCACCGATTAAAGTCATGGTATAATTTTTATCATAGCCACTGCTCTATTGTGCAAACCTATGAACAGAGAAAAATAAGTTGAACTCGTAAAACATGTTTAATAGAGAAATAATATATGAACCCCTAATTATTTAGGATATATATTTTTCAATTCTCAAATGTAGAAGCAAATGCTCTAAATTCTAATTTATACGTCGAAAAGTGTCTAACAACTCAGTAAATTCGGTCTATAACCACTTAGATATTCTTAAAAAGGAATTTTGGGTGCAGTGGTGGACTTAGTGATAGTTAATTACCAAGTCTCACTTTGAATAGAAAAAAAAGAGAGAGAGAGAAATTTGAAAAAAGCAATCAAGTGTTTTTTGCACTAATTATCTTGTCTCACCAACCAACTTCAAGAAAATGTTGACTCATTTTTGTTCTCATTAGTCATATTTTTACTATATATAGCCCATCAATTTGGCTCCCTCATCACCACAATCAATTCCATTTCTCTTCTATCTTCATTTGCTAAACAAGAAGCTACCTATTTATTTGTGGCAAAAAATATAATGGCTTTGGCTAATGCACAATCATTTTTGTTTCTTATAGTGTTTTCTTTCATGTTTGTTGTTAGTATGGCAAACTTTAACTACACTTGGGCCGGAGGAATGAAGTGGAACAAAACCAATTGCCCTTATGCTAATAATCACCCAAATGCTACTCAAACTTCAAATAAATTCAACGTGGGTGGTTCCGAAAATTGGCATTATGGCTTCGATTATATGGATTGGGCTCGCAAGAATGGCCCTTTCTTCGTAAATGATACATTAGGTACATACATATGTCTTCTTTCATTTTAAAAATTGAAAGGATTATAATCGCTATCTTGCTTTAAATTTCTGAATTCATTTATGTATGTAACATGTAGTTTTCAAGTATGATGCACCAAACGCAAATGGAGGATTTCCACACAGTGTATACTTATTACCAAACTATTGGAGCTTTATCAAGTGCGACTTAAGAAGAGCTAAGAGGATAGCAAATCCAAACCAAGGTGTGGGTGAAGGATTCGAGTTTGTGTTGAAGAAATCACAACCCTACTTTTTTGCTTGTGGAGAGCATGGAGGAATACATTGCAACAATGGTACTATGAAGTTTGTTGTCATGCCACTCAAACGTTGGACTTTCTAAGTTACGTTGACTGTTTCTAAGCTTGTCGAATAATTACGGCACCAAATACAACATTTTTAGTAACTTTTTGCATTTTAGTTTTGTCTGGATCAAAATAACGAGTCTTAACGTTGAGTTACACTTATTAGATACTCCTATATTGAAATTTTATTATGGATTTATTGTGATTGAAGTTTTCACCGAAAAAATAAAGTGATAATGATATATATATATATATATATATGTAACTATTTCATGTTCAGATATTTGAATTGTTGACATGTCTTTCAGATAATTAATCTTGATATGTTTGCACGTTTTAACTACTTCCTCCGTATCTTTTTATTTGTCAAATTACATTTTTTCAAAGTTAAAATTACTAATTTTTAAAGTTAAAATAAATTATATTAATTAAATATTTTAAACAAAAATATTAAATATTCAAAAATTATGTAAAAGATACTATAAACTGATAATATCATAAAATGTTAAACAAACTTTTCATAATTGACTCCTACAAAAATTATGATAAATTAATGATAAAGACGAATGTAGTATAATATAGTATAAATTATAGGAACCACATATTATAAATACAAAATAACCTTTTATCCCTTTTAGAGTTGAAAATTACGAAAATCCCTTAAAACACAAGTTAGCTGGATACATCCAGAGAGCACGGGATACATAAATTGTGATACATCGTAGGTTACATCTGTTGCGGTTAATTAGGAAGATTTAACGTGATTTCTGTTATTATTAACTGAAATCACATAATTATTGCTCTACAGCTTGCGTAACTGGATAGTAAATTCAAATTTTAAATCAGAGTAGCTTCCTTAATCAAAATTATTCCTGTAAAAGTTGATCTGCATTCTATGAAATCAAAAAAAAAAAACAGGTTTGAAGATGAATATCTCAATTCTGTTGCGGCATTCTGGAATTTGGGTAAGCGATGTTAATTATGAAGGTTACAAAGTTGATGGAATTGTTGTTGGCCATTCCATTTCATTTGTGAATCTGAAAACGTTGATTTTATCAGAGCTTGAGATCGACACTGTTACAAAGGATATTGAAATCCGATACATTGTTGAGGGAAGCTCATATTCATTGAAAATCAAGAATGACATGGGTGTGAAACTTTATTTTGAAGTAAAAAAGAATGCATCTGGAATCGACATGTATCCACTTTATATTGATACAATTGATAAAATTGTTGGATAGATACGTAATTTTGATTGTTCATCAGATGAAGTCATATACGTGGAAGGTACCGAATGAGATACTAAAACTCTTGCTCTGATCGAGTCGAGAATTTGTGACATTGATCATATGTATTATTTTAAAATGTCTTTTAACTTAGACATTTGAAATAGAAAGAATCAGAGAAACTAGAGAATGTGTTGATGAGCTGACTCATTGCATTCTTTCTTCATTTCTTGTATTAAATTAAAGTTAGACTAAATCACTATTTATAGAGAATTATAAAATAAATAAAATAGAAGGGGTAATATGGGAATATGCTATTTTCTTTATTAGAAAAATGAAATATTCCGGAATTTTCCTAAGTTAAAAATTAATAAATATATTTTATCATTAATGTAAATCACAGAATAGAAGGAAAGACAGACGCAAAATTACCGTAATTTTTGAGGTATTAACTATAGTTAGAGTGATTTTATTGTGTTAAAAATATAAATATTATAACTTTATTGGAATTTGAATATGTAAAATTACCCTTCCAATTTGTAATTTTTGAGGTATTAACTATAGTTAGAGTGATTTTATTGCGTTAAAAATATAAATGTTATAACTTTATTGGAATTTCAGTACACAAAATTACCCTTCCAATTTGTAATTTTTGAGATATTAACTATAGTTAGAGTAATTTTATTGCGTTAAAAATATAAATGTTATAACTTTATTGGAATTTCAGTAACCATATGTGAAATAAACAAATACAATAAATTATTTGAGTCATAATAATTTAAAAGTTCAAAAAGATTGATTTAATAAACGTTTTTAAGTCATATTAATCCGTTTAAAATTTATTTCAAAATTTATGCAAACTAATTTTGAACTTAATAGTGAGCTATACATCAACAAATTCCCCTTATTGTTTACTAACCAAATCAAATTTTTTATTAAAAAAATTCATGACTCATAAGTCGTGATCATATACATATCTAAACAACAAAAATCGTACGTTTTGCTACGATTTTTGTTTGAATCGATTTGATTTACATGCACGATTGACATTGCAAAAGTTTTTAGACTCAACAATAAATATATGTTCAATTCAACTTATTTAAATTAAACGAGTTATGTTTTCATAAATTAAATCTGCCACATCAAATAATAATAACGAGAGATATAGTAGTAAACATAGGTCTAAACTGAAAACAACTTTATTGATAATAAAACTCCATTGAGTTAAGGATAGAATTTGCAAAACATATATGGAATTAAAGAGACATAAATTGAAATAGATACTCAATGGAATTTAAGCATGAGACTAATGTTGTTCAACAAATAACAGGTGGGAGAGCAACCTTGTTGGTGTCATCAACAAAGACAATGACACGAGCACAATCCACTGGCAATGGAATTGACTTAGACATGTTCAACACCTTAACATGAACACTTGGGTTCTCTGTCTGAATTACACTCACTGCTTTAGCCACATTGGTTCCCATTAGCTCCGGCCACGATGACTTACCTACATGCATTAGCAAATACAGTCAAATCTCTCTATAACAATCAATCGTTATAAAAACAAAAAGCACAACGATATTTTAAATTTAACTTACCAGTAACCTTGCATGCGGAAGAACAACCAGCGGTACTCATATTTGGCTAATTAACTCTATTATAAATGTGCAAATGGTTTGTAGAAAATCAGTCTAGGGGTGTCTATATTTATAGGTGTAATTTGTCTTTGGTTTTAATTTTTTTTCTATATTTGAAGATTTACTTAGGAGTTGTTTAATTTATTTAACATTTATAGAGATATAAAACACATAACTATATTGGGAAAATACATAAATTGCATTCTAAATTTGTCCCAAAAAAAATACTTTCTCTCCAAATATGTGTGGAGATTTCCTTACTATATCAATTTTCTAAGAGTTACGTGACATAGGTTAGTCTTACGCTAAAATAATTTTAAAACGGCTTTTAAAGTATGTGTTTTTTTAATTAAAAAAAAGGATTATCTTTTTTTTAAGTACATTTTATTTTAATCAGTGTATTTGTCCACATTTCTCATGGATTTATTTTGTGAAGAAAATCACATTTCGTTAATATTTTGCCTTTTAAAAAAAAATCATATTTGTGTTTCGCTTTTATTTTGAATGAAATATTTATATTGAAAGTCAAAATATTATCTTAATTATTTATACTCCTTTAAAAGGAAAATATTAAATCTTTTTCATATTTGACAATTTCTTGTTTTGGAGAAAAAACATTTAGACATATATAAATTGAAGGCCGCAAAGAATTGCAATTATTAAAATCCCAACATTTTAATTATTTGTATATAAATATATATAGTATAAATTTAAGGAATCCCATAATACAATAATTATATTCTGTCCTGACAAATTTAGTATTTACTAATAATTCTTTAAAATTGTTGTGGCGTGATACATTAGTATGTTGTGATACATGGTAAATGATACAAAGTAACTTAAAACTGTTAAGATTAAAAGGGGGGGAAACGGAATATTTAAATTTGTTATCTAAATCAGCTTAAATTACTGTAACAGTTCATTAATAAGCATTAATTCAGCACGTAATTGGATAACAATTTCAAATTTTGAAAATTCAAGATTATATCATCTAGTTTGAAGACATTTTTATGAACATCCAGTTATTAAACTTATTGACTTATACATGATAACAATTTTCAAAAACTCGTGATACATAGAAAATCATATGATACACATCAAATTAATGTATCAATGCATCGTCTAAACACTATAACACACTGAATCGATATGTATCAGCAAACACACTTGATGGCGCAGTTATTAAACTTGTTGACTGATACATGATAACAATTTTCAAAAACTCTTGATACATAGGAAATCATATGATACACATCTAATTCATGTATCAATGCATCGACTAACACATTGAGTACTTATGTATTAAACTTATTGTCTGATACATGATAACAATTTTCAAAAATTCATGATATACATATGGGATTCCTTTACTAAAATTTTTACTAATTTCAACAACAACGGTTGTTGCTTCTTTTCTCTTTTTTTTGGTGTATTTTGTCAACCTTTGATTTAGATGATTCGCCAAAATCTTTGTTTGAATCCTTCTAAACATTCATAGGATCATGCAAAGACTTTTTCTATTTTCTTTTCAATTTTCATCGTCCGAATTATAAATCCTTCTATTAGTAAAAGGATCCATTAATATGATGTAATAGAACAATGAACGGAAAAAAAAAGAACGAATGATGGAGTAAGAAGAAAAAAAAGACTTAGAGACGGCTGATGTAATATAACAATGAAGAAGAAAAAAAAAGAAAATAAGAACAAATGATGGATTAAGAAGAAGAAGAAGAACTATAGATGGATGATAGAGTAAGAAGAAGAAGAAGAACCAGAGAACAATGGTCCGATTTTCAGAAATTTCAATTTTTTTGAATTTTGAAATTCAAAATTTCATATTAAATGTTGTGAAACGTTTTTAATTAAAATTAATAATTCAAAATTCAAAAAGTGATTCAGAAGATTAACTGTTTTAGTGAAAAAAAAATAGACATGATATTGGGAAAGTGTGTGTTATAGGAGAGAGAAGGCTATGTATCTCTAAACTTCTACTAAAATTAAAAAAAGAAAAAATTATGTAATATTTAAAAAAAGAAGAGAAAATTAGAAAATACTAAATTTATAGTTGTGTATTTAAGTTATTTTTCCATATAATATATGTATGCCCAAAACAGAATAGATCATTAGATTTCAAGTTTTAATCGATTTTAAAGTTGATGTCTAGATGAGCAAATTTCTAACAACTTTTAAAATTTGAGATAATTTTATTTTTATAACATGTAATATAATTTTTCAAACAGAAATTTTCTTACAGTTACTTCTGAGTTATGATTTCTAAATAGTTTGTATGTATATTGCAACAGAAAACATAAAGTCAAATCATTAACACGATTTTATTAAGTATTTTTTTCTTTTTTAAAAAAGAGTTAAAAGTAGATGAAGAACTTTAGCCCAAACAAGTTTTATTCTAGAATATTAATTTGCAACGTTAAGTGGTAACTAACATATAATTGATTAATTTGCTAATGAAAATGGACATATGAGTATCATATGAAAACCTGCATTGCAAGTATTAACAGTCCAAAATTTTTGTTTGAAATGTTTATGTTTCAGTTCAGTTTATGTGTTCAAAATTAAACAGATAAATATCTTAGAAGGTCATTTAACTATAATTTATAAGTTGAGTGACTTTGTAAGTAACACATTTAGTTGAGTGATTTACGGTGAAAAAATTTATAATTGAATGACTTTTTGGTTAATCGAGTTATTTTCTTTTAATAGTTCATAGTTAAATGACTTTTGAGGGTTTCTTTTTTTTTTTTTAAAAAAAAGTCTATATTTGAGCGAGCATCATATTATTTCGTAATTTAAACTCTATGGGTTTAACTTTTAAAGTTTCAAGCACTAAACCTATTGTTTTTTCAAAGTTATATAGGTCTATTTTTATTATATTATTCTCTCTGTCTCATTTTATACAACACTATTTCTTTCTTAGTTCATCCCAAAAAGAATGTAAACTCTATAATTAAAAATAATTTTATCTTAAAATATAATGATTTACAACTGCACAATTAGCTAATAATTGTTGTAGACCACAAATTTTTTTAGATATTATATCAAGTTAAAAAGTGTCATATAAAATAAAAAAAAATACAATTTTAATAAGTTTTTATGAATCACCTCATGCCACATCCGCACCGTTCCCCTATGAGATAACTATTTAATTGATCGTAAATTATGTATTCAGCTATCAATTTAAATTCTATATATTGATAGTATAATTTTTTAACATGTGAACACAGAAACCTAGGTTAGTAGGTCGAAATTAAAAGTGTGTAAGCAACTCGGTGTAAGAAACTTCATATTCGATCCTGGTTAAATTTGTTTGATTGCTTCTAGTTTATGAATTCTAGATTATTTTTTTTTGTAAGCTTATGTAACAAGGAGCAACCCTCCTCTTTTTTTTCTTTCCTTTTATTTTGATAAGTTAGAGAGTAAGGATGTCCCTCACTCCTAGTGTTGTAATATGGAGGTCAGGTTTCACTCCCCTCCATATTCCTTTGACTTATCTATTGAAGCCCCTTGAGGGAACCTTTGAAAAAAAAAAACTCGGTGAATTCAGTCAGTAACCATTTTCATATTCTTAAAGTTTATTTTAAAGGAAAAACCCTTATTTACCAAGTCTCACTTTGAAAAAAAAAAAAATTTGAAAAAGGCAATCAAATGTTTTTTGTACTAATTTTGTCGTCTCACCAACCAACTTCAAGAAAATGTTGACTCATTTTTGTTTTCTTATTAGTCATAATTTTTGTATTTGCCTTGCTATATATAGCTCATCATTTTGTATCTCTCTTCACCACAATCAATTCCATTTTTATTTGTATCTTCATTGGCTAAACAAGAAGGTAGAGCTATTTATTTGTGGGAAAATATATAAAGGTGTTGGTGAAGGATTCGAGTTTGTGCTGAAGAAATCATAAACCCTACTATTTTGCTTGTGGAGAACATGGAGGGACACATTGCAACAATTATACTATAAAGTTTGTTATCATGCCACTCAAACGTTGGACTTTCTGAATTGATAAAATGTCGTTTAGTACTTTAAAAGACATTTAGATTTAACAAATAATGAGTGTTATACTTAGTTTGATTTTTGAATTTCATTTTAAATTACTTGTGACTAGAGTAGTTGTTATTAATAAAGTTATACTTATCGAATTTCAAGCATTAAAATTATAATAAACTTTTATACGATTTTAAACGATCCTCCTCCTCGCATCTTCAAACTTTTGAAAAACAGTTGAAGCGTTACAAAGGTTGGCACATGCAATAGCAAACTGACATATTCAATTATTGACACGTGGATAAAAATTGACAGGCACTTTTTAAAAAAAAATTCCATTGGAATAAAGACAATGTGAATAAGGTTATAAACCAAAGACAAAAAGGAAGAGAAATTGTTCATAGACTTTAAAAAAGACATTACATTACAATAAAGTCCCACTTTACTAGTTGAAAAGCTACTATGAATTTAATTAAACTGCAAAAATAGAGATCTCATTAGATATTCATAACGTTAACGAACAATAGGTACCAGAGCAACCTGGTTGTTGTCATTGATAAATACAAGAACACGAGTACAATCCACCGGATCTGGAACATTCTGAGAAATGTTTAACACGACGGGGCGAAGAGTTGGATTCTCTTTCTCTATTACACTCAATGCTTTGTCAACATTTTGCCCTAATAGCTCTGGCCAAGCGGTCTTACCTATACACGTTTTCAAAATAATATCGTATGAACATTTGAAAAAAGATTATGAAATAATATAATGAAGTTGTTTACGGAAAAAAGAATATATTGTAATAAGAACATATGTAAGAAGTAAAGCTTACCTTGAACTGTACAACTCATATTTACCTAATAATAGACCATGTAGATATGTGGATGTGCAATGTTATGGTTTGGAGAAGATAGATAGATAGATATCTTCTTTGGTGTGCCTTATATTTATAGGTGCCCACCTCTTTGAATTTTTTTAATACGTACTCTCTCTGTCCAGTATTATTTGTCGTGGTTTCTATGTTTAGA